GAGTCTCTGGCATGTGCCAGGCCTAAAGATGGCAACTCGCGAGCGGGCGTGCCAGCATGTAGGTCTTATCCATGTGGTTGTGATGTGCTTGTCCCTGCTAATCCGGGAAAGTCTTTAGATATTGACTTTCCCCAGAACTAACTGTCGGCTTAGCTTGCTATATAGTGAGTAATGTGTTTTCGTTTTTAGCTGCACAGCTTGGACCACATCACTTATCAGTGCAGAAGCATCAGGTATTATCAGCACTTGGGAAGTATAAGAATCTTGCCACCGTCAACGTATTATGTGAAAATGTGTTGTTCCCCTGACTGCAGGACCAGTCGGCTGCATTGGAATCCAAGTTGCTGCGGAGTGAGAAGCTAGCTGCGACGCTAACGCAGTCCTGGGAGGCCAAGTGGGACAAGACGCAGAAGATAATACAGGTATTAATTAAAGAGACTGTCCTGGTTTTAAAATTGTATCACGGCACTCTGCTACGACACACTTGTGACTTAATAGGTCGGGTCCAGTAAATTGGTAATGGAGTAGTAAAGCATGCATTCTGAGCATACCTTGTCTGCATGATCTTTAGAGTGTAGCACCCAGTCATTATGAGCCTCTCGCCAGCGCAGCCGTCATGTAGCGCCTACATACCCATTGTTGTTTTTTTGTTTTGTCTTCGTTCTGTTTCCCCTTCTTCCGTAGGTATATGCAATGTGATAAAAAAATGAGATGTAACTGAGGTTGTTGATTGCTGGTTGGTATTAGTTGATTGTTGACTGGTATTAGCGGCTCAGGCATGGTGGTGTGTGTATGGGGGGGGGGGGGGGGGGGTGTATCAGCTTCACATTGCAAGACTAATCATGTTCATCGTCTGAGATAGTACTGTGGCAGCACTGTAACGATTGTGTCCCCCGGTCGGAGTGGGCTTGCCCAACCTGAGCTGAGCGGCCCTCCGGTTTTGTGATTGGATGTACATGTAGGAGCGGTCCCTGGCATTGACGGATAGTGGAGTGGCTCTGCACGTCGAGTCGGAACAACCCTATCTGATAGCATTAGCTGTGGACCGGCTCTCGACAGGTGTAACCATATGCAATCTCAAAGAAGGTAGGTGTCAGTCTCTAGTTGTGGACACCATGCATTGCTGTGGACACCATGCATTGCTGTGGACACCATGCATTGCTAGTTTTGGACACCATGCATTGACACCATGCATTGCTGGAAAGACACTCCATGCACCATGCATTGCTGTAAAGACACGCCATGCACCATGCATTGCTAGAAAGACACGCCATGCACCATGCATTGCTAGAAAGACATGCCATGCTACTTCAGTACCTTCTACAGAACAATGATCAGTATTGACTATGGTAAAAAATGGAGCCTTGAAGGACAAAATGTTACGAGTTTTGACTAACTGTCCACCAATGTAACCAGATCATACATACAGTCAGTGAGTGTGAAAAAATGGCACAAAACTGACAAGGAGTACTGAGACATTCAGCGACCTGACATAACTCGTAACATTTTGTCCTTCTCCTTTTTTTACCATAATTAAATTGGCTCGCCATCTGAGTTCGGTATTGACTATGGGCTACATTAACTGTAATGACACTATATAAATACATTGGTCCACGCTAGCTCATCGGCAACAGCGGTTCCGGCGGAGGTCTCGCTCCTTCATCGCAGTGCTACTTGTGTGACATTCAATTTTGCCTATTTGTGTGTCTGTTGTGGTGATCAGGTACGACAAGCATGGGAGCGGGCACAGATGCTGACACACCGGATATCACTCTAGCAGGGCCCAATGTACTAAGGTCAGTTGTAGCAGTTTAATAACCATCTGATGGTGTACCAGAAGTGCTCTACGAGTCGTATTGGGAAGGACAAAAAAACTTGCGCAAGGGGATTTAGTGAAGTGTGTAGATGTGTTGGTTTTCGGTAGCCATTAGTCGTGAGGTATCTTCCAAAATGTGATCATAGGAAGTTAGGAGCCCACTTGATAGACAGTTCTGTTACCAAGGTTACCAAGGGGGAATGGATGTGTGCCGCAGTGTATAAGCTGCTCTGTTCGGTCACGGTTCATTTCACCTGCTGTGAATTGAGACTTGCCCCCCCCCCCCCCCCCCACACACACACACATGCATGCGGGCACACACGCAGAGTCGCATACACACACTCACGCACATGCGTACACACGAACACACACGCGCACTTATGTTCTTCCGATACCCATAGCCGTCTTGTGTGTTGCTGTCGTGTGCAGACATCATTGCCGGATCGAGAGCAAAGATAACGTGGTGATGTTGCATCCAGCTGAGGACGCACTCTGTTTGGTGGACAACTGTGCTGTTAGTGAGCCTACGCTGTTAACACAAGGTCAGTGCAGATTCAGATGAAACTTCTAATTTCTGTAAAAAAAATTAAAAATGAAGGTTAAATACAGGCTGTTAGCACCATGGCCCTGCACTTTTACTACTTAGAATAATTATGCGATCTGATTCTGCATATCCCAACAACATGTGTCCTCCAATGTGATGGGATGTCTGATTCCACCCTCTTGACCTGCGTGATGACTGCCATCAGTAAGACCACATAATTATTATGCTGTGTGCTAAAGTGACTTTAGCCAACTCATTCCCTTATGTTGTTCTCAACACAGAGCTATTGGGAGTGGAGTTTCTGGTGTTTCAAGTGCAGTTTGCACATTGTGTAACTCGTCTCTCGTGCCTTGACTGCCACTGTTTCCTTCTCTAGGTTGCTTGATTCAGTTGGCATCGCAGAACCTGTTTCGCTACAACAATCCCACCGAGGCAGCACGCTTGCAGTCTCAGGGTGGTGGTGCTCGCAAGTCTGTGATGCTCGGTGAGTGGTCCAGACAGCCTATGTTGCTCTATCTTTGATATGGAGGTTGGACTCCAAAATCCACGTAAAAAGACTTCTGGTTACTCAAGCATTCCAAATAACTAGCAGCAGAATATCGTAATATCCCTACGTAAGCACTCGCCCTCTGTTCTGGTGAATTCGCTGATGGTAGCCGATGGCCGAAACGGTCCAAACCTTTCCAGTTGTTTTGGCACGCCATGTCAGTTGTGCGATAGCGGAGGGCAAGTGCCTAGCAAGTTCGGGGTATGAAAATGAGGCTACATGAGTTGCATTGCTTACTTGAGCAGACTGCACTTATTGATATAGGGCCGTACCGAGAAACTTTTTTTATACGATACATTTTCAAATTGGCCGGAAGTGATTTCGGGACTTGCAACTCTCTAATGATCAATGCTTTAACTGTGCTAGCAATAGAACATATCAGTGAAAAAAGTGACTGGATCATTGCACGGAAGGACAGGAGTGACCGCGGCTGAGTTAACCTCTGTCCTGCTGTGCAATGATCCAGTCACTATGTTTTCATACATGATTGTATGTGCTATTTTCTTGATGGGATCAAGTGCCAGTGTGTCGTCGTTAATAAAGGTCGCCAACTACCTCCCAGCCTTTCTAACAATGGGACATCTGTTCAGAATTAACTGCATTGGTCCAGTTCTTTGAGAAACGTGGTCGAAAACAAAATTAAAAAAGTTCTGCCAAAGTGAGACTCAGAAGAAAGTCATGGAGGCATCAGGTTGTTTTAGTCTTTTGACCGATTCCTATGCCAAAGCGCTGATTTTTACTCATTACAGCATGGACTTTTAAACTGAGTGGAGTTGATTCTGGCTACATTACATTCACACTGCCAAATCTATTGACAAAGCTCAATATGGCTTGCCTCTGCCAGACCTGATCTTAATATGGCTTGCCTCTGCCAGACCTGATCTTAATATGGCTTGCCTCTGCCAGACCTGATCTTAATATGGCTTGCCTCTGCCAGACCTGATCTTAATATGGCTTGCCTCTGCCAGACCTGATCTTAATATGGCTTGCCTCTGCCAGACCTGATCTTAATATGGCTTGCCTCTGCCAGACCTGATCTTAATATGGCTTGCCTCTGCCAGACCTGATCTTCTTAGACTAGTAGCACCCTGGAAAAAAAATTCCGTGGTGCTATTGTTTTGCAACACCGTACTTGAAACAGGCCGATCGGAACTTGTCTGCTTGCTCAGGTCATGGCCGGACCAATGTTTTAGGGCACCAACTAGCATTTACTGCTATTTAAGAGGGACATGTGTACTTGCAGTACTTGCCATATCATACACAGAGTGTGAAAGGGTATGGTATGGCCGGACCGATCAAAACTGCTCTTAAACCTGCCTTGCCGTGGTTGGCTAACACCCTCTCTCTTTGTATTGGCCGGTGTTCTCACTGTGCTATGAGATGCTGTAATAAATAAATAAATAAATAAATATTTATTATTATTACTTGCATGTACGCGTTGGAGTCAACCATGCAAGCATGATCCACAACTTCGCTTATGCTGAACATGATAAACAGGACTATGACAGAGGAAAAAATGAGCTAGAACGATGATAATAATAATTATGATACTTATATCATAATATATACAATGTAGCTCATGGGTATTGAAGATATGTCATTTATGAATATGTCTATAATTATGAATATTGCAGCCTGAATGATAAAGATAGTGCTATTTCCTGAGTTTGACTGTTTCAGGATCTGTCGGAATAGCACAATGCACAGACCCTCATGCATAGATCTCGCCATGCTGGTCTGTCATGGGCAATGGCTCCCAGGCTCTGCAGAGCGTCTACTATTGAACAATCCAGCATTGGCTTGGCGCAGATCTCCCACCATAAAAACTACAGCCGCGAACCATGTAGTGGAAAGCTTCACAAGATGGCCAACGCATTTTCACATGTACAGACAATTTGCAAAAACGTTCCGAACATTCAGGGAGAAGACATTACTAAATTAATAAATAAATAAATAAATAAAATGGCGTTGTGAAAGCATAACAGTCACAGTGAAATGAAATCACTTGCATCTGATAAACTGTATCACCTACCATTCTAAGGTAGGGATCTCAGCGCGTGAACTGCGCAGCCAGTCTGCGCAGGTGAGATTTCGATCCCAAACGCGTCCAGTGAAGAAACCGTGGAAAAGAACATTTTTTCGAAACGAGAGAGCTTGGAAGCTCAGGGCCCTACGCTATGCTTTTTTGCCTTGATGACCTATGCAAAAAAAACATAGGGATGTTAATAATTTTTTTAAAGACATAACCTGGGATTCGAACCCGCACTATCGTTCTTGAGCCGACGGGATGTCTGTCCTGACGTTTCCTGGGACCGGCGCTGACTCTGCTGATCACAGGCGTTCTGGAGTCGACGGGATCTCTTTTCCGACGTTTCCTGTGACCGGCGCTGAATCGCCCATTCACGCTTATTTTGGAGACGACGGGATCTCTCTTCCAAAGTATGTTTTTGCTGACGCATCCTATCACCTATTCGGCAACTACCGTCCCTTCTAATTTCATTCCCTCCTCGTCTCCCTATTTCTTTCCAAATCTCCCCATACCTCAGGGAGTCGTATACATAATAGGACGAATACTGTTGCCAGCTGTTTGCGGCCAGCTGTGTTTGATGGTACGGTACGGTACGGGACAGATATGGGAGTGTTTGATGGTACGGTACGGTACGGGACAGATACGGGATAGCGCCAGGCGTGACACAAACACACAAACAAACAAACACCAAATTAAAGCTGTGTGGACCCTGGCTAGCGCCAGACGTTACTGAAGTAACGTCTTCTGCATAGCTACGGGAATAAATCAAGTTGAAGAAGACAGTAGAAATGGCTGAATGTTGCGCCCAGAAAAGCACGTTCTACGGCCATCTCCAAGCTACCTATCTCCCAGACACTCTCTCAGAGGAACTATGGAGGGTCAAAGAGCACAATATTTCACTCTTGGACGCAGCGTGAACACCTCTTCTACTGAGTGCGATGTCTTCTCTCTGAGTGATAATGGCGGCGATGTTCACGATGGCTGACGCACTGAAAATTGAAGTTAGGACAATCTAACCGGAGAAAACGTCTGAATTTTGACTGAATCCTCTCTGAAGTGGGTTCTTGCCGCATGGCAAATTATAGGAAAATCGACCGGGGCGATATCGCCTTGGCCACGCTTTCCTTCGGCGGGAATCACAAAGTATGTTCGAACGACGATGAAGATGACGATTCCGTTAGTGTCCACCGCGTCCGCTAGTGTCGAAAATCGACCGTCGCCATTTTCTGCTGTGTCCGCGAGCTGCACTCAAAACTCGATGACGCAATGTATGCGCAAACACCCTGCGCACTGCACGCGCTGAGATCCCTATCTAAGGATACCTGTGGCAGAAAATTATTTCTCTGACTTTTACAGGAAATAATTAAAATCGTTCTTGTTTATATGATTGTGTTGCCAATGTGCAGATGTAGTGGACACACTTGCAGCGTCCGTGCGGAGACCTCACATATCAATCCGCGATGGATATCTGGATACGTCCTCCTCGCACTCATCTCAAGGATCAGAGGGTGAAGAGGACATGACTGCGAGCATGCAAACTCGCAAGGACACAATTAGCGCTGCACGGAAACAGCTACAGCAAGAGAAAGAAGCTGCGCTGAAAGCTACGCAGGAGGCAGAGCGTGTAAAGCAGGAGCTGGAAGGTCTAAAGACCAAGGTCTCCACACTGAAGCATGAAGAGAATGAAGAGCTTCGCGTACAGCTGCAACAAGAGCATAGAGAGGCAAAAGCAGCAGAGGAAGCAGCTCGCAAAGCCAATGAAGAATTGCACGAGCTTAAGGCATTCATTCAGCAGCAACGACAAGAATTTGAAGTGATCAAGCACCAGGAGCTACAGAGTGCGCAGTGGAGAGCTCAAGAAGCAGCAGCGCAAAAGGCTAGAGAAGATCTGGAGGAGCTCCGAAACCAGCTAACTAGCTCTCAGCGGAGTGAGAAGGCACAGCTGGAGGAGCGTCTTCAGAAAGAGAGGACTGAGGTCGAAGTGGCGCAGCATTCTGCTGCGCAGGCAGCACAGGAGCTGGAGGTCCTACGCAAGCAGCTCAGCTCCAAGCAAACACAGGCTGAAGCAATGAAGAGCGAGATTGAGCAACGGCAATGCGAAGCTGCGGAGGCAGCGAGACAGGCTAGCGCCGCGCTTGTTGAGCTGGAACGTGTCCGGAATGACTTTGTGTCCAAAGAGCAATCCGAGACACTGTACCAGGAGAGATTAGAGGCTGAGCAGGAAGAAGCCCGCAAAGTTGCACACCGGGCCGAGGAGGCACAGTCACAGCTCGCTAGAATGCAGCAAGAGTTCACGCAGAAGAGTGGTGTGGAGGAAGAGCTGCGGAAGCAGTTTCAACGCGAGCAGGAAGAGGTGCATCGAGCAGCCCAGGCAGCAAGCACTGCCCAGGTAGAGCTGGAGAAAATGCGACTGTCCTATGAGCAGCAACTGGCTGAGGAACGCCGACGACGTGAAGAGCAGGAAGAAGCAGAGAGCGCACAGCGAGAACTGGATCGGCAGCACCTGCGCCAAGAAGAAGAGAGACAGCGGCAGGAACTTGCTGAACGCCAGAAAGAGATTGAGACGCTGACATCGCAGCTTCAGAGTGTTACTCAGGAATCAACAAAGCAGCAACAGGCACATTCGGAACAGCTGAAGCAGCGGTATGTCGCTTAAATGATTCTGTAACTAGGCAGTTGTGCACCGGCTTCCATTGCACTAGCCACTAGGTCTGTTGGCCGCATGATTATCTAGACTAAGGGTAGGCACTTCACCCCATTTTTTGAAATCGCGTTTTTTCCAGGTTTATCATCGGTAATCGATGGTGGTGGGTATCACAAGGTCACACAGAAAATTTTATTGAAATCCACAGTGATACCACTCAGATATGAAGGGTTGAAGATAGGCAGTTGCATAAGGCGAAATCAATACAATTTGTGGCACCAACAGCATCTCCGAAGTATCATCAGTGGATATAGTCACAAAACATCAGAGTGTTTTTTTCAAGCACACATCACTCACTTACACCAACAACCCTGTATGGATCGGAACAATACAGATCAAAGTTCAGAATAGGCAAGAATACGGCAATTGTGACAGCAATCACTATAGCAACACCATAGCAACCCATAGCAACGCCATAGTAACCCATAGTAACAGCTTCAGTTTGCTGTGAAATGAACTGATAACGACATACTGGCAGGCTCCTGCGGGTACTAAAGGGTAAGAGCTACAAAGACATTCTTCTGGCACAAAAACAACAGAGAACTTCCTCGTTGTACGCTGTACACCGCAACGTGGAGGGTAAGTACGCGCGCGTGCGCGCGCGAATTACTCCACAGGACATTCGTGCCCACAGTCATGCCATCTCAAGTGATTCCAAGTTGGCAAGAAGTTCCTCAGGACCTCTGTTGGTAGCTTCTTTCCCTGGTGTGATATCTGCCTCCCTCTCCTTCAACTGCTCCATGCAGCAGTCATGAATTGCCTGCTGGTGAGCTTTGAAATTTTGGTGAAGCGTGCCTGGCTGCGTATATCAAAGCATCCGCTCATCAGAGGGTTTCTCCAGCAGCCACTGTGCCTTTTGATTGTTCGTAAACATCAGTAGGCCTTTCAGCGCAACCGTGTCAAAACTTGGCTTTCAGTACGCTTTGAGAATTCGCCCAGGTAGGACGACGCATCGTCGCTCTCCTCCGCCTAAAGCGCATACTTCTCAGTGCCTACGTACATAATGTCTCCTTGCGCAGGGATGCGCAAGCCCTGGCAAACAAGAACTCTACTGTTTCCGAATGGAAAGACGACGCTGAAGACGATAAGCAGCGTTTCAAACGCGAGCAAACAACAGATCTTTGTGAAAAAACTCTTTGCTGGTAGTGTACGTGATCTACAACTCGCAAAAATGTACGCACTATGACGTATGCGGGATCTACTGAAAGCTGAACGTCAGAGCAACACGATGCGCCCAACTATCAGCCCGTACAACGAAGCATAGCGCGTACCTGTACAGTTTTGCGCATGCACTTGACTGGTGCCACGCAAGTACGCACTCTCACCTTAGCAAATTTTGACAGGTCCTGTCACGTGACTGAAGTGCCTACTAAGGGGTGATGTGTAGCTCCAGCCCGGGTTGGTCGACAGGCGGGCCAGCCCGCCTGCAACGGGATCTCGGGCTTAAACCCACACAAAATCATAGCTGTCGTGCGTTTACATGTCAAGCGGGCCAGAAGAAGCACATATAAACAGACTAGCCCGGGCCAGTATGCAGAGGTTTTACCTGTAGTTTTCCTTGAGCAGTGTTTCAGGTAAATATTTTCCCTTGTCCCTTTTCACTTCCCTTTCGTTTCATCCACCTTTCCAGGAAATTCCCCTGATAAGTATCCATTTACAGGGGCGTCGGAAGGTAATTTAGTGTGGTACGGTCAGCCATATGAAGTAAAATTCACTCGTGTGGGAGGGATGGCTGAGCCGAAAATTTAGGGAAATTAGAGCCCAAATCAGTGCATTTTATTGATTCACAGGGTACTTGGGGCAAATAGTGGTACGGTCAATACCGTAGTGACCGTACCGTGTCCGACGCCCCTGATTTACTTTTTGGAGAATCCTTCGAATAAATTCTACAAGAAGTTGATCGATCGATCGGTGTGCTGTTGTATTCGACACGTAGCTACAGCTGACAGTGCAATGACTTTCCTCACACCGGTTCGACCTGAGTCAGTCAAGTGTCAGTGCAATCGGCAGGAAACAGGAGCTCCAAGGACTAACGTTTGGAGCAGCCACATTCTTGAATCTAGTACCAGCTTGATCACCAAAACAATGAAAAAAGTTGGAGTTGAAAATAGGTGGAATTTGAACCCACAACTTCATGGTCAGCAGACAGCATTCATAACCACAAGGCCGAAAGGCATAGATAAATTGGGTTTTTTTTAATTAAAAACCGTTACTGCCTTCCTGGACAAATTCTAAATCCTGGGGAAGGGCCAGAAACCTGGCCGAAATTCGAACTCCTTGACGACTGTTCCAAAAAAAGATAATTCGACGAAGATGGGATTCGAACCCACGCGGGCAGAGCCCAATGGATTAGCAGTCCA